CAAATTCCTCAAATTTATCTTCTTCACTATATTAATCAAATTGTGTGTACAACTATAACTTAATTTTATAGTGTTGTTGTTAAAGACATTTGACAGTTCACAGTATTTAGGGAAATGTTTTCTTAAAAGGTTCAAAAACACCTTTCAATATTAGTTTTCACCTGCACACACACACACACACACACACACACATATATATATATATATATATATATATATATATATATATATGCTTATTTTTAGTATAATCCTTTTATATTCACGGATATTTTTCCGTGTATTACAATCAAATGATGCAAGAAATGCACTGTAACAGTGAAAATCATTTTTATTTCCCAAGTACTTTCCATCTCTTTCTGAGATCATCATCAGTGGTGCAACTAGCAAGGCAAAAATTTTGTGTAGCTATCCATTACTGATTTTTTTATTTTTTGGTTTAAATGCAACAACTGTCAGTTTTGCTTTAGCGTTCATTAGAACGTGAAAAAATTATCCACTATGGGATAATTTATTTAATCAGTCATGTCTATAAGAGAATTTTCTGGCTAAATACACACACACATACACACGCACATACACACACACACACACACATATATATATATATATATATATATATATATATATATATAACATAATCTTAATGAGCCAGGTAAACCTACCTAAGTTTCACCTAAACGGATCTTCAGAGTAACACGTATTATCTCAGGTTATCGCTCTACTTAGTGTATTGAGCACTTTACGTAGTTGTCTTTTTACTCATTTTGGGCTTATTTTTCTTTGTACTTTGAGCTTAAACACTTGACGATTGTTTTCGCCTTGTTTTAATGTTCTTGGTCCTTTCTTTTTTTTTATTTCCAATTTTTCCTCGGATACCGATTTGTTATACTGCAAGTTGACCAATCCGAGGTTTTTCCAAACGAGTACTATATATATATATATATATATATGATCATTGCAAAATTTCGTCCCCGATGTTCATTATTAATATAACATGACTACAAGTTGATTGACACTGGTGTTTGCCTATTTCTGGTCTGTTCGTGGTTGAAAACTTCTATACCTCAGTTGCGAGTCAGACGTTGTTGAATGTTGAACGTCTTGTTCGCAAATGAATGCCTTAAAGATGGAGAATGAAAAGTTTCACTTTCACCATATTATGTTCTATGAATTTTGGAAAAGAATAAGCGTTGGAACTGCGACAAAAAAAGAAAAAAAAAGAAAAAGAATTCAAAATGTTTATTTGAATCGTGTTCCATCTCTTCCGGCGGTCAAAATATGGTTTGACAGATTTCGTTTGGATGATTTTAACCTAAACGATCAACCACTCCCCGGGCGAACTTTCGACGTTGTTTTTTTATGAGGAGAATCACTTGAAGATGTTGATGGAAGAGATGAAGACTAAGTGTTTGAAAATCGATATCACAACTACATTGCGCCATTTGAAGAAATATGATTCAAGAAAAAAAGGGCCGATTTTTGGCAAATCGAAAACGTGCCATTTTCCCTCACGATAACACAAGATGTTGCAAAACAGACTTTGTAGAAGCTTAAAGAGTTGAAATGGGAAATCCTCCCACAGTCACCGTATTCTGCTGACTTGGAAACTTGCCATTTTCATTCGTTCCGTTCTCTACAGAACAATTTACAAGATGAAGAATTTTCAGTTGAAGAGTACGACACACACTTCTTTCAATAAAAAAACACGAAAAATTCTACAAAAATGATAGACAGAAGACAGTTGTTAAAAGCAATGGGGACTATGTTTCTGACAAGCAAATGATTTTTGTGACTATGTAAATTTTTGTTGTTAATTTTCTAATCGGGCACGGACTAATATATAATAATATATATATATGGTGTGTGTGTGTTTGTTTATATATATATATATACACTATATATATATATATAGAGAGAGAGAGAGATATATATATATATATATATATATATATATATATATATATATATAATAATTAACTGATTTAAAATATGGTTCCTTCGTTACACAGGAATTACCATGTTTTTAAAACGGAAGCTAAAAACCTCAAATTTAATTATATAATCAAATTAAAAGCATTAGTGCTGTTTCATCTTCAAGCGAATTTTGGAAGATGATGAAACAGAACTAATGCTTTTAATTTGATTATATAATTAAATTTGAAGTTTTTAGCTTCCGTTTTTGAAACATGGTAATTCCTGTGTAGCCAAGGAACCCTATTTTTAAATCATTTTATTTATAATAATTATGCTCTGTAAATTTACATTGAGCACTGTTCGGTATAAATAAAAATATCAGTAAGAACACCGGATTATATATCTTACTGTTCTTTCTTTTTACTATAATATATATATATATATATATATATAAGGAGAATTACATTAACATGAAGGTCAACGCTACTTAAATGTAATCATGTTTCGATGTGTACCAACACATCTAATCAAGCGTTAGTAAATGACTGGTTAGTAGATAATTATTTCTATTTCACCCTGTTTTAAATTAATGTAACGGACGGTGGAATTTATATTCGATTCGTTCTCATTTCATATATATATATATATATATATATATATATATATATATACATAAAAGAGCTTTTTTTCTTTCCTCTTTTAATATTAAAACTTTTTTCTTTTTCTCTCTTTTGTCTTTCTTCTTCTTTTCCTTTTCCTCGTGTCTGAATAAATTGAACTCCATTTATTTATGTAAAACTAGGCTGAAGAGATGGACTAAATAAATTATAACCTGACCTAATGGATTTGCAATGATTCTGTATTCATATATATATATATATATATATATATATATATATATATATATATATATATATATGTGTGTGTGTGTGTGTGTGTGTGTGTGTGTGTGTGTGGTCAATGAGGTAAAGACCAAGTGATGACCTTCTGTTTCATACTTGAAGGCCTGAAGATTCATTTTATGTCACCACCTGGTGTTGACCTCACTTTTATATTTACATACGCTCTCTTCCTAATATTGAGCACTTTGTGTCATAAATATAGCGTAACTGAAAAGATATATATATATAATTCTCCATGTAAAATACGCATTTGTTTCTAACATTAATAAGCAATGTTAGGGGTGCACATTACGCACAGCTACAGTTTCAGAGGTCGATTTCAGTTGCCAGTTGTTCGAACATACGACAATTTGATACTAACATTTGGCGATTGTGACTCCATAAGGATGTCAAATACAATCAAATGGACTTAACAACACCTACCAATGTAAAATAGAAAAAGAATTATCATAAATCTAAATTAGAATAATATTATTCTATGTTTGAAACCATTTTTGACAAGAGTAGAAACCGCTGACCGTAATGAAATTGAAGAGGTACAATTTATAGGGTTTCATTCCCAAACAAGGGGTGCGTATTATGCGTGAGTAGAAGAAGCATTTTCCCACACTTTCAGCACAATTTTAGGGGTGCGTTTTATGTATGAAGGCGTATTATTCATCGGGAATTACAGTACATATATATATATATATATATATATATATATATATATATATATATATATATATATATTATTAGTAGAAGTAGTAATAATCTTATAAGTATAAGAAAGTCTCCTCTCCATGTTTTTTTTTTTTAATTTCGATTGAATAAATGGTTTACTACCCCCTGTTGTCCGAGTTTCTCTCTACCCCTCCCCACTTTTTTGTTGTTGTTGTTTTATCTCTATTTGAATAAATGCTTCTCCCCGCCCCCGTTGTTTTTTTTGGGGGGGGGTCACGTGGTTATGATTTTTTGTTTATTGACTATAAGTATTCCGTTCTTTGTTACCTTTTTTAGCCAGCCTTCCCTGACGATCCGCTTAGGTGAAACCTTGGTAGGTTTGTCTGTCTCTCTAGGTTTAACTCTCTCTCTCTCTCTCTCTCTCTCTATATATATATATATATATATATATATATATATATATATATATATATAGGTATGTACGTGTCTGTGTGATTTAGGCAGTATATCTTCTTGCAAAATTATTGCGAGTGTAGTAGCAATATGTCGAAATGCATTTGACCAACGTTTAATAACATTTTGCATTTTTACCATCTCTCGTTAGTTCCCTTACATTGTGGACGCTTGTTTGCAAAAACACCATAACTGCAAAGGACAAATTTAAAAATAATTATAACAGAGCGCGTTCACGTGTGTTTACAAAATTCACCATCGCAACGATTACAGTCACATTAAAGTGTCGTCACCATTCACACCTGAGAATGATCTCGGAGTGAGCAAAAACTACGACACCTTCTTTGATAAATTTCTATCTAAATTCAAGAAGCTAATTAGAGAACTAGAAAAGATTATTATATAAAAAAAAAACTTTGATTTAATAGAAATAAATCCTATTTATTTATTTTATATTAAATCAAAGATTTTTTTTTTATATTATCATTACGTTAAACCTCATAATTTTGTGGATGCACTTATTTGAGTAGACGCCCTGTTCTTTTTTCTAACAGTATGAATTACATCTACCGGTTTGTGTATTCGGGAGTCTTAATGAAGAAATTACGCTCTTCGACAGGACTCAAACGTGCACCCACATTTTTAGAGGCATCCACTGGTTAATCGTCAACCGAAAGTTATAAGGTTCATTTAGCATTTTAAGGAAGACACATCTCGAAAGCCCAAAATTTCTCAGAATTAATGGATTATTCGGAACCCGACATTATATGTCTGATTCAAAATAACAGAAATCCATTAATTTCTTCGAAATTTCTGTTGTGCTAAAAATTCTTGTCCATTCATTATAGTATAAACCACCATGGAATTTGACATTCATAATTATAATGGTATTCCTGCAACATTACCTGAATGTTACTCACAATGGGAAAGATATATTCCTAACATTAAAATACCGTCATATGAGAATCTAGTAATAAAAATAATGACTTCAGTAATTAATATCGCAATTAGGGCGGCTAATAATAGTCAGAGATAATGACACCATCGTCAAGTTCCTTTGAATATTTTTTACAACTGAAAACCATCAGGTAGAACGAATAAAAATAAACATTGACAAAAATATGCAAGAATTTTAAGAAAGACATGATTAATGTAAGGAAGTTTAAAAATAACGTCAACATAATTCGAGAGCGAGGAAAAAATGGTGTCGGACGATGAGAAAGAATTTGTGGGAGGAAAAAATGGAAAAAAAGAAACAAAAAGAGAGAGAGAGAGAGGAAAGAAGCAGAGAGAGAGAGAAAGAGAGAGAGAGAGAGAAGGAAAACAAATAAGGGAAAAGAAAAGAAAGTTAAACAAAAAGAAAGAAAGAAAATATGAAAGAAAGAAAGAAAGAAAGATAAAAAGAATGAAAGAAAGTATGAATGAAAGAAAGAAAGTATGGAAAACAAAAAGAAAGAAAGAAAGAATGAATGAATGAAAGACAGAACGAAAAAGAAAGAAAAAATGAAGAAAAGAAAGAATGAAGAAAGAAAGAAAGAAAGAATGAAGAAAAGAAAGAAAAAGAAAGAAAGAAAGAATGAAAGAAAGAAAGAATGAAAAAGAAAGAAAAAGAAAGAAAAAGAAAGAAAGAATGAAAGAAAGAAAGTGGGAAGAAAGAAAAAAGAAAGACAGAAAGAAAGGTAAAAGAAAGAAAGAAAAAAAAACAATGTTTAAAGGAAAAGAAAGAAAGGCGGACTGAAAAGGAAAGAAAAAAGAGAATGCTTTGAAAGAAAGAGCGAAAGAGACAGAACAAGAAAGATAAAAGGGGAGATAAACCAAAAAAAAATAGAGAGAGAGAGAGAAACATGGAGGAAAAAAAAGAAAGACAAGAAGTAAGAAAGAGTTAAAGAAGGATATGGGAGACGTATGAAAAAGAAAGAGTGTGAAATGTAAAAGGAAGGAATATAAACGAAGGAAAGAGAAAGAGAAGAAAAGAAAAACGTTTCCTTTAAAAGAAAAAGCGAACAAGACAGAAGGAGAAAATAAAAGAGACGCTAAAGAAAGATAGATAGATATTAAAAGACTGATAGATAGATAGATAGATAGATAGATAGATAGATAGATAGATAGATAGATAGATAGATAGATATGAATATGATGAGTTAGATATGAATATGTTGTGATAGAAACGTAGAGAAAAAAGGTGGAAGTGCGAGGAGGAGTTAAAAAAGATGTAGGAAATGTAAGATAAAAGTGAGAGAGAGAGAGAAAGAGTGAAAGATAAGAGCAATGAAGAAGAAAAGAAGGAGAAATAAAAGAAAAGGTATGGAAAACGATAAAAGAGTGAAAATGATTGGAACAAAGAAAAAAGAAACGAAAAACTAGAAATTGGAAAATAGAAAAAATAAAAATGAAAAACGAAATAAAGAAATGAAGAAAACCTTTGTACGCGAGGCACTCGTTAAAATGATAAAGGCTTGAATGAAATAAAACTGACGGTGACGATAATGGCAGCAAAATATGCGAATGAAAAAAATTAACGAAAATCATGTGGAAAATTGTGCAAAAGAGAGAAAAGCGAGAAAAGAATATGCAGAAAAAAACGAAGTCATGAATAAAATGGCGGTAAAAAAAACAAAAACAAAAAAAAACCCCAGAAAGATTAGATAAACGTATGAAAAGAAAATGGTGTTTTTTGAAAACTGGGGAAAAGGGAAAAATTCTGGAATGAAGGAAAGGGAAAAGAAAATAACTAAAATCAGGTAAAAATGTATAAATAAGAAATATAAAAAGAAATGGCGGATAGAAGGTTAGAAGAACGGAGAAGAAAAAAAGTAAAAAGTAGAAGAAGTAAAGGAGAAAAGAGAAGAAGAAAGAAAGAAAGAAAGAAAGAAAGAAAGAAGCTTGGGATGAAAAATTAATAAAATAATGAAAATAAAAGAAATACAAACCTGGAAAAGGATTAAAGAAAGAAAGAAAGAAAGAAAGAAAGAAAGAAAGAAAGAAAGAAAGAAAGAAAGAAAAAAAGAAGCTTGGGATGAAAAATTAATAAAATAATGAAAATAAAAGAAATACAAACCTTGAAAAGGATTAAAGAAAGAAAGAAAGAAAGAAAGAAAGAAAGAATGAATGAAAGAAAGAATGAAAGAAATAAAAAAGAAAGGAAGAAAGAAAGAAAGAAAGAAAGAAAGAAAGTAGAAAAGAAAGAAACAAATAAAAAATGAAGAAAGAAAGAAAGAAAGAAAGAAAGAAAGAAAGAAAGAAAGAAAGAAGCTTGGGATGAAAAATTAATAAAATAATGAAAATAAAAGAAATACAAACCTTGAAAAGGATTAAAGAAAGAAAGAAAGAAAGAAAGAAAGAAAGAAAGAATGAAAGAAAGAATGAAAGAAATAAAAAAGAAAGGAAGAAAGAAAGAAAGAAAGAAAGAAAGAAAGAAAGAAAGTAGAAAAGAAAGAAACAAATAAAAAAGAAAGAAAGAAAGAAAGAAAGAAAGAAAGAAGGAAAGAAAGAAAGAAAGAAAGAAAGAAAGAAAGAAGCTTGGGATGAAAAATTAATAAAATAATGAAAATAAAAGAAATACAAACCTGGAAAAGGATTAAAGAAAGAAAGAAAGAAAGAAAGAAAGAAAGAAAGAAAGAAAGAAAGAAAGAAAGAAAGAAATAGATACATCCCAGGATTGTAGTAAAAATTTGCAGAACAAGGAATGGTAGAAATAACTAGAATACTACGAGGAGGTGATGAAAAGTTCTTGACACAAGCAAGAAGCTCTTAAAAACAAACAAGCAAAGAAACAATCAAAAAACTGATACTTGGTCATTTGGTCAGATTTTTAAAAGTGGGTCAGGCAGAGAACTTTTCAGTGCCTTCTTGGAAAAAAAGGAAAGAATAAAAGAAAAAAAAAACAAGAGAATGAAGGAAATAAGAAAAAGAAAGCAAAATAAACAAAAAAATAAAGGCAAAATGAATGTGTGAGGAAGAGAAAACCCCATTCGCTTCATTGGTGGTGAAGTCACGTGACAGTCTCGGTGGCGTCGACGGCGGCGAAATAAAGAAGCAGATGCAAAGCGATGACGTCAGCAAAGCTTGCCGCGAAAAATCTATTTTGCGCGCCAATTTCATGGCTGCTCTGGTCTGCATGTTGTTTTCATTAGCACCAAAACGCTACCATCACTCGTCAGTTGCTATCTGATATGCCGGCAGACTGATCCACTTTCGCTTCATCGCCAGAGAAGCGCAGATTCCGCTCAAAGTCAACCCGTCCGTCGTCGGAACCTGCATTTACCTGCAATACACTTCTTAACAGAAGTGCATTGCTGCTCCTTCACTCCAAAGTGCATCAAGAATGATTTTGCAAAAACCTAAAAATGCAGGTAGCAATAAATACAATAAGTGACAACTATTTTTGCATACTGTTTGGTACTTCAGAGTCTGTCTATATTTCTGAGATGAGGTATTATGTACATTATTTACATTATTCGGACTATTGTCCTCATCTTTGTCTCCATATTTATCACAACGTTTAACTGGCATCCATCGGACATGGCACGTAGAACTAGAACAGTCCACCCCGGTGAGCGAAATAAAGGGTTCAGTTCGACATTCCAACCACCTGAAGAAGGCCGGAGCGTACAACGGCTGAAACGTTGTGATAAATATGGCGACAAAGATTAGGACAATAGTCCGAATAATGTAAATAATGTTTGGTACTTGTTTGTTTGTTTTTTCTAATCATTTCACCTCAAGCAGGATTATAAACCCACTATAACGCAAGAGGTTCTGAGAGTGAATGAAAATAAGAAGAAAAGAACAGGATTCAATGAGACTGATGATGGCGATTGATATTACATTTAATTTTTAAGATTGTGGTTAATAGGAAGAAGGAAAACAGGTAAGGGATCGCAAGAGAAGAAACTGCAATAGAATCCCTCATATCCGGGAACTCTCATATCCGGGGTGCCTCATATCCGGAATTCCGCTTATCCGGAGTGCCTCATATCCGAAATCCCGCATATCCGGACATGATTTTGATATGTATATTTGAACTATTTCTGCGATACGTAATTAATTCGAAATTTCCGTTTTTCAGGAAATTTACGTTGGATAATTACATAGACTTATTTCACCCTGATGACTTGTATTGGGCGAAAATATGATGGGAATAAGAGGAAAAGAACAACTTTGGAGTTATCGCAAACAGTGGAAATTTTAAACAGACTAGACGCCTGTGAAAGTTCATTGTATCTAATGGTTGAGTTCAACATAGGAAAGTCAACATTATATGATATAAAATCTCCCCAAAAAACTATTCTCCAGCATTCACACTGTCACAATGAACAAGGAAATAAAAAAAAAACAACATGATTGTGATGAGATCTGAACTGAAATTGAAAAAGCTATCGAAAAGGTTGTCAGTTTTATGGAAAGAAAGCCAGCATTCAGATATGATGATTGCAATAACGCACGCAGAGTTAAAAAAAAGTGTTTTTCGCTTTAAAAATTTAAGAACAAAAGCAAAACGAAATGCGGAAAAAGTTGAGAATGACATTAAAAGAGAAAGAATCATGCAACAGCGATTAAAAAATCATCGTTATCTTATTTGTTTTGCATTCGTGTCATACTTAATTTAATGAATTTTCATTAACATTAAATAATTTATTTCTTTTTCCTTAAAATCAATTCCATTATATTTCACTCACTATTAGCTTATTTTGTTTACTATAAAACATTGAAAATAAATGTTAAACCTGATTTCAGTTCTTTTATTTGAATCTAAATATAACCCTTTATCGGGACTTTGTAACCAAATCCTCATATACAGTAGGCATTCTTAGTATGGTTGTCAGGGATTCTACTGTATTAGAATAGAAGTTACGCTTACATCTTGCAATTTAAACAATAAAATGACGAGACCTACTTGCCAATCTAGTCAGTTATGTTCCATACACGTAGGCGATCATGTATCTTTCGATACATGACTGACGAGGTAGATTTCCCCGCCATAGGTTGCCATTTCTTTCTGCCGTAGACCAGTTGCCATCAAGGCTATAGAACGCGGCCTGTTCTGCTATTTAACCATAGCCGTGGAGAAGAAGAGAATTCATACGTTTCCCAAGGGTATTAGCATATAAGTGAATGTAATGGATTCGACTGGAATTCGAACTCGGCTCTCTGATTCCTCAGTCCGAGCTGCTATCCATTACTCCAGCGTGCGAATCCAGTACTGTGCTTAAATTCATGTATCGACGAGGAAAGCTCATAAGAACATATGCCATGAAAATATTTATGGAAACGTCACGTAGAAATAGCAAATATATAAATAAAAGAAGAGAAATCAACGAAACGCCCGAACAGGAAGAAGCATGAGATTGTTGTAAGGACGTAAATGAAGAAGAAAATGGTGCCTATTATGAAGACATGTAGGACAGATAACAGTTGACTCTAGACTTGAAGAGTTTAAGACTGTAGCGGTCGAGGAAACATCCTCTTGTGAGTCTGTTCTAGGGAGACGAAAGGGATAAGGGTGTATATGGAATAGCGGGTCTTACCTGTTATTTAGGTCGTCTGAACATTTGCTACCAAAATAACTACGGGGTGCGATAGATAAATTGTCGTCTAAATGGCACAAAAATGAAAATAACACTGACATCTATTTTAACAGGTATATTTACCAAAATGACATAAAAATACCTTGAAATACTAAAGAGTAAATTTATTCAACATATTTTCAAAGATATAAGTTTTTTTTTGTTTAATAGCAGTTCAATAAGATCTCTCTCTCTCTCTCTCTCTCTCTCTCTCTCTCTCTCAATAAAATCGCCATTGGATTCAACCACAATTTCTAGACGACTTCAGATTCTCCTGCATCTCTTCTGAACGGTCTCCTTGTTTAAGTCGGTGAATGCTGACCTGATCCTTGCCTTCAGTTCATCTTTCGAGTTACAACGAGTTTTGTTGGTCTCTCGCTCAACTGCACCCCACACATAATAATCAAAGGGTTGCAGTCAGGGGAGTTAGGTGGCCAGTTGTAAGGGCTGATGTGGTCTCAGATATTCTCTAACATGTATGGTATGGTGTAGACTTCTATTGCCAGACATAGGGTTTTCAGCAGCCACCCTCTTGACCCAGGGCAGCACTACCTCCTCAAGGCACTTGGTCTAGGCTTCCGTGTTGAGTTTGAGGCCCTGTTGGAAGATGAATAGAGGCATAGCGTCCCCATGACTAGTGCTCAGTCCAAACACCGTCGTAATTACCATTAGATTCATTCAACGAATCCTCCGCATTCTCCTCAGATTGACACCGAAACACTCTGAAATGTCTATAGTGGAGCTTTCGGTGCGAATGTCAAGCAATACGGCATGCCGTTACCAAATTCTGGCGAAGCGAATTAAGTTATGGTGCTCTTTTTCTCATAGACGTTGTCCAAGTAACCCAACTATACTGTCGACAAAATCAAAAACAAAAACGCGCATGCGCGAAATTAAAAATATAAAATGGTGACATCGCACCCTGTATAAAGGATACAAATCTGTTTGGAGTGTTGTCATCGGCTACGCCCTGAAGAAACATGGTATTTTTAAACAGGTCTTCCACAACTGCAGCATAGCGATCCGATACATGTCTCACTGCAAAGTTTTTCTCTGTATAAATGGGTTGCATGATGGAAAATACTTGATCACCTAGAAGACTACGTAATAATTTTTGAACTCAGTGTGTGATCACCAGTCCAGATGCGTCAGAAATGCTTAATTTTCGGGGGCATTTTGAGGGGTATTTCCATTTTCGGCAGTGGTGTAGTGATTAGAAAAGCTTGTCTCGCTAGATCAATTACAACTGAGTAATGAGTTCGATCCTCACTGGGTGTACCCCACTTTCAGCCTTGAGCCAAATCTAAGCTGCGCTTCGAAAGTCAGGGCACTTCGACGTGATGTAATGGTTAGCGAGCTGGTCTCGCTAGATCGATTACGACCGAGTGGTGTGTTCGATCCTCACTGGATTCTCCATAGTTTCGGCATAGCTGGGGGTAGGGGTCATGAAGAGAAGGATTCATAGTATTCTTAAATGCAATTATTCGGAAGTAACAATCTCTGACTGAATTCGAACGACTTGCAGATTTCTCTTTTTGCAGTGCAATTGGCCAAGGTTAAATGTAATTTGCTGAAATGACCATCAAACAGAATTGACAAAGTTTTCAATGTTTATAACAAAATAAAGAAAAGAAGAGGGCAAACATATTATTAAGCAAACAATATGGCTAAGGTAAAAGTAGGTTGGTTGGTTGATTTTGTTTAGCGGCATATCAACACCTCTATGGGTTATTTAATGCCGAAATTTAAATATTTTGAACACAATTTTATGACTTCAACTAAATATATTTTGAACCCAATTATATGCCTTAAAGTATAGATAAAATGTTTAGTTGGCAATCCTACAAATAAATATGCAAGTTTATACTTTCATAGTATTTTTTGGGGGTGGAGGTGGTCACTATTTGGCCATAGCTGGGACCCTAACAGGTGCTACCAACCCGGGTCAGGGTTAACCGTGGAACAACAACAATTAAGAGGTGGTTCCCTGCTCCTCAAAACCTCCAAACTCCCGATCATATGCTTTGCTGCTGGATGTAGTTTATCGTCATACCCAGAATGAGTTTGCTGCAGCTAGATAATTGT